TAGAAGTTTGCTTTCATATTTTTTATCTTACATATATAAAGAATAAGGTCTGTTTGTTTCTCCTCTAATAACTCATAACTAGTATAGCTAGCGTCACCAAACTTTCTACAATTCTTTTCTGGGCCCTGGAAAATGTCGACGTCGACTTCGAACTGGTAAAATGCATTATGCAATAAAATATGCATTCCAGTGAATGCATAATAGATATCTATAACTGAAACTTGTTCGAGTTTTAAAATTAGAGAATTTCGGAATTACATTGGTGTTACTTAAATTTATTTTTGGCAGTCAGGAGAAGATTTAACGCGATCTAATCTTCCCATGGCCATTTTGAGGATTAATGGAAAATAATTATTCGAATGTTTTTAGCTCAAAGGGGTATTAGCCAGGAAGGGCTATTAGTCTCGAAAGAGCATTTTGCGTTGAATCATTATAAACAGTTGTATCACTTTTCAAATTGTTGCCACCAAGTATTAGCCCCCTGTATTATACTTAAAGAAATTAAATAACGAAGAATGCGCATGAATGGATGTGTGTTTCTCTCATTGTAAAAAACAACGATACCTAGTGTCATCAATTTTTTAATGAAAGTCATCCACCCGAATATGGGCATCTGGAAGCCCGAATCTTGAATTTCGAATTTGTTTTATTATCTTTTCACATTTTTTAAAAGAACGAATTTTTGGTGAACAAACTCATCGATTTTAAAGTGAGCAGTGACAATACACTGTATGGAATATAATATTTTTATCTTCAGTGCGCGAGACTGTCGAGCGAAAATTCTATATGTAAGCTGTTTTCAAATATTTTTAACAAAAGGGGACGTTTCCCAAATGCTTTCGAAACGTGTAATGTATGTATAAATGAAAAAACGAGACTTAAATACTTGTTGAAGGTTAAAAAAATGAACCATTTAATTTTTATAACAATTTTTGAATATCTCAATTTAACCACTCACTGAAAAAAAAAAAATTTACTAGACGAATATTGTGTTTTTGTTTAAAATTCTTGGCAATGAATTGGGAAGCAAAGAATTTCTTTTCAGCTGCCTGAGTTTAAAGAAATAATATCTTAAAAGTTTAAAGAAATAATATCTTAAAATTTTTTTTAGAAACAAATTACCCATATTTATGCAAAGTCATTTCGTAACGAAAAGTCCCGCTACTCGAAATTTTCCATTTATATAACGTGAAGGCGGACCAATTTCCAATTAAAAAAAAATCCATAAAGAAGCATATGGATTCCTGGCAGGAATCCTCCTGCTAGGCTGATAGTTTTCGTGTCTCAGCAATTAATAAAAACCTAACTATCTTCAAAGGTAGGCAACCTGATTAAAAATATGATATGTTAATTAAAGTTCAATTTTAAATTGAATACCGAATCAAATCTACATTCGTTTCTTCACTTTTTATGGTATTATTTCTTTATCCCTGAAATATATATAGTAAAGTTTTGTCCCTTCAGGCTATGTTAAGTAATATCTGGAATGAGGACCGCCAAAATTTCGATCATTAGCTACTAATAGGTAGCTGGAAAATTTTTGATGGTAAATATATTATCGATTTAAGTTTCGTAATTGATTTGCGACCTTGGAAACCAAAAATGTTGATTTTGTTTTTCATGATATACAAATTTTACGTAAACAGTACTTGCTTTTAAAAATAAGATCAATAAAATTAATGTAACTGTATTTTTTAGCGAAAGTGCTCTTTTCGTAGTTAAAAAAAACTGGAAGATTTCAGATTTTAAATAAAAACAATGTAACAGTATTTTTTAGCGAAAGTGCTCTTTTCGTAGTTAAAATAAATCTGAAAGGTTTCAGATTTTAAATGTTCAAAGGGGCGTTTTTTTAACGTTTTGTGGGTTACCTTTATTTATTAAATATTAGTCTACTACTCAACTATAAAATCAGTTCTTAGAATCTCGCAAATTGATTTTTAATTGAGCAATCTTTAAATTTCGTACAAGTCTCGCGCTGGAGATAATTTTTTTTCCCGTACACTCTGCCGTTCTCGCTTTGAAATCGTTTGTTTTTAATCAAAATTCGTTGAAGTGTTATAAATCTGGATTCGATATAACAACTTTCAAATTTAATAGGACTTCCGCATGCCCCATATCTATGACGATTACGTTATCAAATTGGGGTGGCTCTAGGTTACCGTTGTTTTATCACAATGCAAGAAACTACTACATTCATGCAGATTCTTCTTATTTAATTTCTTAAATAAAGCAGGGCGATAAAATATAGTGGCACCCGTTGAAAGTATACAGCCTTTAAAGTTTTCACGCAAAATGCCAAACGAATTAATAGTCTTTCCGCAATTGCCCCTTGGCTAAAAAAAAAGACAGCAAACAGGTTCACCACTCATTTGACGGATCCTAATGCATATTTCCAAGATTTAATGTTTAATGAAAGAACGTTTTTCTAAATAAATTTCTTCTCCCCCCCCCCCAAAAATCAACTATACTATGTATATAGATTTTAGCCAAATTAAAAGAATGTAATATTATTATTATAACATTATTACAATTAATTAATCAGATAGTAATAATTTATTATCATATAATTATTATAAATATTCATCAGCAAATTCTTTTGTTTATGTATATTAAGGTAAATACATTTTAAAAGATAAAAACGATATTTCAAGATAAAATTGCATACATAATATTTATTGTCCCTAACTTCTATCTCAATTACATCATAATTGTTTACTTAAATTACTTTACTGCTCTATATAACCCCATTCTACAGATAATAAAATTATATAATTCTTATATAGTAATAGTTATTTATTACACTTTATCATAAAGTTATGTATAAACAGCAAAACTCGGTTTAGAAAACACTTCAATTTTTAGCAATATATGCACAAATAACTAACTGTGCAAAATTTAACACAATATAAACAAACAGTTAATTACAAATGATCATACATACGTATAACAAACATCTATAAGTATAACTAACATATGTCTTACGTATAACAAACATCATATTACCTTAGATTACTTAAAAGTAATGTTCTGCCTTCTGAAATCCTTGAAAGCCGTGAAAACAATCAGAAAAAATAAGTACTGAAAAAATCCCGAACTTGGGATTTACAGCCATTTCGCCCTATTTCATAAGTAAAACGGTCCGAATGACGCATGCTTGTTTGTGTTCATGATCTCGGCTGTTGTGATTAAACTATAGCTAGGTACTTTGCAAACAATTTACGTTTTTTTTCGTATATTGCGATTTTGTTATCAACATCTACGTAAGCATTTAGGTTGAAAAAAACAAGAAATTTTCTTTTCAACTTCTGCTATATTTATTAATTAGTCAGTACCATGATTCTCATTTTCTCTTTTTTTAGATCAGAACTGGCTTTCTATCGGCAGAAACTAGTTTTTTGCCGTGCCGGTGGCAAAAATGAAAATGGCCATAACTGGCAGAAACTAGTAAAGGTAATCGAAATATTATATTGCTGAGTAATATACGAGTACTAATTTTTTCATAAAACACAGAGATATTTCTTACCCAATAAGCTGCTTTCAGACCTATGGTGTCAGCTGTAGTTTCAACTAAAAGTTTATTTGTAATCTGGGAAAGATAACTTGTTATATATACATATACAAAATACACATACTTACATATAACACATATACATACTTATATAATACATCTTTATAACTATTACAGCTTAATTAACGATAAGTCATCTTTCTTAAACTTTTTTATTCTTGTATTATCTCGGTAAAAATTAACCCTTGCACAAATAACTTTGAATATCGTTCTTAGATTATTCAGATGATAGTTTTTGATTACATCCTTTTCTATGCGTAAAGGAAGAAATTTCTTTTTGAGTAAATTTCTTTCAGAAATGTATAATAATAGTGGAAATTAAATAGATAAATAGTTTCAGCAGAAGTTATAATCATTTTCCTATTTTCCTTAAATTTTGTAAAATATTTCACACTTTTATTATTCTTAATTCTGCTTTACTTTGAGGCTGTGCAGAAACCCTCTGGATTTCTTAATCCCTCTTCGAAAGTTACTTCTTCTCTACAGCAGTGAACATCCATTAAAATTTGGTTTTCTTTGTCTCATGATATACAAAATATGTTATTCGAGAGAAACGTACATGCATTTCCATAGCAATGGGCTATTCTACGCAAAAATAAGCAAAAAGGGTAACCTTAATTTGACAAAGATAAATTTTACTTTTGTTCAAACTCCACAAGGCCCATTAGCCTCAGAGCTCCCGTAAAATCGCTAAACACTTATTGTTCGCTCTGAACTTCCCTTAGAAACTCCTACACGAAGGTATCCTTCCCTCAGACAGAAAGAGTATGTTTTGTCAGATTCAAACGACCTAATTTTTAGGAAAGCAGAAAACTTATGAAGTCTCGTTTTCTTTGGTAGAATCAAATGTAAGAAACTTCTGAAAACCTTAAGGGAATTATTAGTATATCTTGTAAAATACCACATAGACTGAGAATGTTAAACACCCTTTTATTTAACTCAAATACAAGTTAACAGAAGGCGCTTCTCATGCTTACAGAAGCCAACATTGATAGCCTAAATCAAAAGGAAATTGAATTACTAAATAAATGTAAGTTCGGCTACGCAATCAGAGAATGCGCAAGTTTGTGACTTAAAGTTGGCGTGACAAGCTTAATGGCGAGTATAACACAATACCGCAGAATGCAGATCTCAGCAGAATCAAACTAGTAACGTGGCCTTCAGCAGACGGAACACGCACTGATTCTATCCTCTTAAACCTTCGCTTAAATACTTTCTCCATTTTACCCCATTTGAATATACGTGAGCTAGAAATTTACATCCTGGCAGGAAAATAGGAAACGAGAAGGACAATAAAGCAAATTAACATGGTTAATAAAATTAAATGTATACTCTACAAATTTTATATGGATTGCAAACGGGACCAGAATTATGAATGGATTTATTGACCTTCTGCTGTGCCTCATATGTAGTTCTACAACATAATAAGGAGTTACAGCATTATAAATACAATAAGTCAGTATTTGTAATAAAAGCTGTTGTTTCTTTTAAGCATCACTTACTGCCGCAATCTTATCTAAATGACTTGGTATATGATTTTAACTTACCAAACGCAGCACTGTGGCATGCTATTTGATTTTCACTAACTTATAGAAATTTAATACATATTTTTCCTGAATGACTCATTTCATCAAACAATCGCTCATTCCAGAGAATTATACAGACTTGAATGGCAAACACTTTAGTATAAAGTTAGAGAAACAGCGCGTAGCGGTAGAAGTGTTTAGATTAAAGTTGGCTAACGCCCAGTACGCTTGTGTCTTAAACTAAACCTCTTTTCGAGGAAGCATTCGATATCAAAGTAATTTAGTCAAGGTATCTGGTAATTTTGTATTATACTGTTTTATTTCCTCCCTCACAAGTTGTAAAGCAGAATAATTTAAGTTCGATATTTTGTTGTTTGTGTGATTTCTTCATTTAGTTAAGCTATCAGTGATAACTCTCCTCTTAGCTTTTAAGTAACAGCTGATAGGTGAGAGATGGAACATGAGGTAGAAATAATTAGAAACATCCTCCAATTATTGCTACAGCATTACTTGTTTCAACATTTAAAGGCTGGAATCTGCCATAAAAATGACTGAAATATGCTCTTCCGTCAACATCAAAGAGAAATCAGGCAGGCATGTTCTAAATAAGAAATTGAATTCGATGCTATGTTAGTATTATTAAGGTTGTAGGGTTTATATTTATTTTAACTAACATTTATTTTAAGTTTAAACTATCTTTCCTGTCAACCTTACTTCCCCTGAACTGCCAATGCCAGATTAAATTTAGTGAAAAAGGCAGGATTCAAATTATCAGCAGAAGTATTCTGCTTTAAATAAAAGGAAACGATTTCGGGTTGTTTCTTACTTCACGAGCGCGAGGTAGTTGGCGAAATTGAGACCCCGCGTATCGCCTGTTCTTGCCGAGTAGTTTAATGTTCAAGTGATCTTCAGTGCGAATTAGCAGCGTATTGTAAACGCGTGAGTTCGTTACTTTAGAGCCTCGTGTGAGTCTTGTCTTTCGTTTTTTTCAGTTATATTTTATTGAAACGCCGAGTTGGCGCAGTTTGAGCGTCAAGAGCACGCATTTAATTGTCGTGAATAAAAAGGGACTTAAACCCTTAACAAGACTCTGTCTTTTATCCAGTTTTCACAGTCACCTCTTGGTTGCGTGCAAGTTGGAGGCGCGCAACGCTACGAGGTCAAAATAAAAGGCTTAATAATCACTTCTGTTTGTTGATTCTTTGAAAACTAGCTTGAAAACAGTGCTACTTCAGAAAAAGAACCTGTTTCTATAGATGTAACTGGCATAAAAGAAACATATGAAAACGCGAATCTTATACAAATATAATCCGAATACAAATATGAAAAGTATTCTTGGAAATTGCGTGGAGATCAGAAAGCGATTGTCCTCTAACCTGCATTAAGATGCTAAACTCTGCTGTTTCTTAGAGATTTACAGAGTTTGTCCGAAAAGTAGTAAGAGTGATTTTTTTTTACTTTATTCACAGTTTTGGCCCATCGACTTTAAAGTTTCCAAAATATGCCCCTTCTGCATCAACACAGCCTTTCCAGCGACTCTGTCAGTCACGGAAGGCCCTTTGGAACACAGAAATTAGAATGCTCTTCAGCTCCTTCGTTACGGCCACTTGAATGGCCTGGACCGAGCCGTGGTGCTGTCCTTTCATGACCCTTATCAGTCGGGAGAGGAAATCTGAAGGAGAGACATCTGGGCTGTAATGTGGGGAAGCTGTGTGATGCCATGTTTGGTCAGGAAGTCTATGACAGCAAAGGTAATGAGGCTTGACGTATTGCCGTGTTGGAGCCTGGACGGACGCAGGCGACTCGTTTTCTGAGTCTTTTAAGTACTTCCACGTAGAATGGAGCAAAATAGAATGCAGCCAATATAAAAGATATAATAAAATCGTAGAATGCAGCCAAAATAAAAGGCTAAAAATATCAAGCAGAATTGTCAAAATTATAATTACTTGTCAGAGTGCAGATTAAATGGCGCTGATAAGCCGCTTAGGTACTTTTCCGTTTTGCCGACTCAGGCGACAAAGTCGCCAATAATGTTACAACTGATTACCAAACGTAATATTTTCGCTGATAACTTTTTACGCCTCATTTTCAAAACAAGTCACAGCTCTTTCTTATCAGATTGATTGTTTCTTTCAATACTGGCATACAATTACATAGAATTTTTAATAGATAATTCAATTTTATGCCCTAAGGCCATTCGCGGTAATAAAGACAATTAGGGTGCAATCACATCGCTCACCTGATGGCAAAGTCAAGGGTTAAACTCATCAGTTCTAATAAGAATGCACTAGCGAAGTAACGCACTGCGGTTTTACATAATTTCCGAGTAAGCTATTTATACGAATTGAAATAATTCTTGCATTTAAACATGTATTCCAAATTAAGATTTACCTTGAAATCAATGTAGATAATTACTGAGATAATTGATTTTTGTAGCGTAGTTTTCGTGAGAGAAGATCACTCGTGGTCACGTGATACGAACCGGCGAATCAGGATGTTGAACCATGAATGCATAGTAAATTATCCTTTTTACAAATTTATGTCTTTTTTATGGCTTATACAACATTTAAACATATTAAAATGTTTATGCCTTCAAAATAAAAAATTCTTAAGAGTAAAATTGTTAAATTTTTTTACTGTATGTTGTCGCCAATAAAGTCTGCTTGGCGAGAATTGCGCCGGCGAAACGGAAAAGTACCGCCGCTTATAAGATGCAAAAGTATATTTTCACCGAAACTTATGCAAGCAGTGGATTGCAATAGGGATCCATTTTTAACGCCTTCCTGTCCGTGAAGTTAAAATAAAGGAAGTCATATTTGTATGTATTAAGAAGCTGAGGAAATCCTGCGAAGATTTCTATGTCTCAAATGACGTAGAAAAAAATAAATGCAGTGTTAAGATGCCGAACGAGTTAAGATTGCAAATGGGGGGGGGAAGTAACAGACTGTAAGAACGTTCTTCAAGATAATTGTCTTGGTAAAAAGTAGAAGATCTTCTAATGTTGATTTTAAATTTCATCTTAAGGTGTCGATATATTTGTAAAAGTCCATTATAACATTAATAAACTTAAAACCATAGCTTCAAAGAGTGATATATATCTCTCACAATTCCTTTTTCACCTTTTTTTACTGCTGCAAAAAATTCCAGTTTTCAAAATCTATGTTTGGCTACTCTGCATGTTAAAACTCGACAGAAGATATTAATTCCGCTTCTCTTTTAGATCCTTAGAACACTTATTGGTTGATCTTTAGATTATGGTAACTTGGCGATTTTTTGGCGAAAATTTGGCGACCAACTCTCCTACAGCAACCCTCTATTTTTTTTTTACCGCCCCATTTTTCTTCAGAAGTAAAACATTTCTTTTCTTTTATCTACTGAACCTTTTTCCACAATCTACTACCGAATTACACTATGCTAGAATTTTATCTAATAAAATGCTATCATGACAATATTCACTGCAAATTGGGAAAAGTGACAATAGCATACTCTTAC